GTATTATTTCATCTAGATTGACCTGGAACAAATCTGGTACATTTGTAGGAGGATTAATAAATAAACTATATATATAACTGTAAAGGTAAATAAATCATCCCACTCCCCTGATCCACCACAAGTAGACCCTCAGCCATTTGACATTTTCCTGTCCACTGAAACTCTTTTGCTGCCTGACATTATACCGTTATGGAGATATATACCTTTAGTGTATTGGGCTTATGTTGTCTCAGCGATGAATAGACATCAAAACTCTACGATAATGGCTGCTGGTCGTATTGGTTGCCATGTAAGCCTCCTTGGCGCGGTTATGGACAGGTGTATACACACACAGTTGTATTCATCAGCCCGTGAACAAAAGCTGTGTATATATATAGTTCAACAATAAGTGTATATTATCCATTGTTCTGTTTTCATTTCAAGGATGACACTTTATCTCAAATTGATATTTCAACTGTCAAAATAGAGTTTAATATTCTTGGTTAATTGTGAGATAAGTCGGTTTCTCTGGAATTTACAAAAGATAGGACAGAATTATCTTTTGTTGTGTATTGGAGTGTTTTGTGACGGTAACTGTACTCCGGGGAGGTAGACAGTTAATCACTGGGAACACTTACCTGTGGAGATTTCAAGATAGGAAACAGTTCATCAAAGATTAATGCTGACTTTTCACTGAATTGTGTTGTTGCTAAGGTTGGTTTTGAAAAGATAGAAGCTTGAGAATGTCCAAAGGTTGGTTTTGAAAGAATTGCATAATACCTTGTTCCTATGGCTTTGCATTAGAATGAGAATGTATTTTAGATTTAGAGTCTACAGCTGGTGACAGTATTTAAACTTCAATCAACAGCTGTCCTGTGTTCTGGAGTATTTCTGGTGGATTAATCAATTAATCAGGAAATTCACTTTCCTTCTGGATGTAAGAACTAGAATGTGTTCAGGAAACTAACAGACAGATTTACTGAAAGAAATATTTTTTATTTAAAAGCGTTTTGATTAGAGCAGCACCTTTGAAGTCTTCTGCCATAGTTTGCTTTGATTAATGAAGATTATTGATTTCCTCTATGAGTTAGAGAGTATAGATAATATCGAACATTTTAATCAGTCCCGAGATTGTAGATCGTAGTGAAAATGTACATCGCTGAAGACCCTCGGGAGACGGTGTACAGTATGGAACCTCTGTATACAAGTAGGAACGGTTTGGACAGGGTGACTAACGAGAAAAAAAAGTTAGTGAGACAGTGGATGTTACGCGAGAACTTCCCGGAGAAAGATAATGCCAAGGAGGACTGGCAATCCCGACTCATACTCCTTAACTGTATCTATAACAACTTCAGGTGGGTTAAACTTTATTGTACGTGAACTGTAGAAAAAAAGGAATGTCTGGTTGACACTTGGTTTTCCAGAGTAAACGTGGTTTTAGGTGATGGGTAACATTTATAAAATTTGTGTTTTAATCATCTGTTCAATTTTTTGTGTTTAAGTGGAACTGAAGCGTTAGTTTTTGAAGGTAATTTGGATGCAGGAAACGCTGATAACTTCTCCGAGCAGCTGTACTGCCTCCTTCCTTTTGCAGATTTAGGATGTTTATTCTTTAATCTTTGTGTCTCCTATGTTCCCTTTCTAGTTTTTCTTTCCATGGCACGTATGAGACTTCAATTTTTTCTCCATGTTATCTTTTGATGTTTTTATGACAGTACATAGTACAAGAATCTAAGTTTTTGATCAATTTTGATTAGTTCATGACATAGAACAACGTGCTATCAATGACATGTACATAATTATATTGCTGCAATATTCGTACAGCTATCACATTGCTACTTACGAAGTATATAAAATGTAAATCAATTTTCCATCTAAAAAGTAATAAATACTTTTGATGGACTGGGGTATTTTTATACAGTGGAGGGAGAGGGGGGATGTGTTTCATGCAGAGTAAAAAGTATCTTGATACTCTTTATGCAGAAGGTATGTTCAATGCATGAACACAGTTTAGTTATGAATGTTTATACAGTTATCTGTACATGTTTATAGGTATCATCTGAGAACCCTTACCATGTTTTACTGGTGATAAGACCTTGCCCCCCTCCTCCACCCTTCCCCACTTTTCTTTATTTTCTGTGCTTTGGGTTGGTCCCTAATATTTGATAAGCCTACTCAAGTTCAATTGCATCATTAAAAGTGATATTTTGTGTTGTGCAAAACACGTTAAGCTAACCAGCAGGATGTGTCAAATCATTTTCTGGTAGTTCAAATGTAACTACCTGTAATTTCCAGTCACAAAGGATCCAGGAGCGTCTGGTCAGCTTGCAATCTCTGAATGGGACTTATATTTACTCAGCATTTCAAAATACAGTGTATTATTACTTCTAATTTGTATGCTATTTATGCATGGCTTCTTTAGACAAGATTCACATTAAATGTATCACAATATTAATGCATGTACATTTTGTATGTCAGAGCTGTTTGGTTTCTGGATTAACAAGAATTTATAGGTGTGACTGTATTTAAAATGTATGAAAACCTTTATATATTTCAGAAAATCTAAAAGTTTGGTTAAAGGGGCTGGTCGGGGGGGGAAAAATACAAAATAAATGGGTCTAAATGCGTTCTCTGGCCTTTCAAAAGTTATACCACGGCAACATGATGGTCAAGTTCTGTTTCCAATGTCCAGTTTTGATCACTGAAATATCGGGGAAGCCCCGCGTAAATTAAGCGCAGATCTATTTACATATGTCACGTGGTGGTTTCAAAAGAGAGGCACTGAAGATAACAACAATAGCACGCCTTCATGTGCCATGTCGGACTCAACTAGCAGACAAGACAGCAATACTATACGTAAATAATTGTTTTCGAAGGTCATGTATGATGCAAGTGTAGTATTCCTATATGTTGTTGTTATATATAACGGTATTGATACCTCGTGCCTGTCATGACTTTTGCATGCATCTTTTTCTTTCGCTGTGATGCATGGTTACATTAAGCCTTGTTGATGACGTGCCTGTGGTAAAATTACATCACTAATCTGGGTCAATTGAGAGTTTTAGACTGTCAGGTGACGATTTAGGATTTCTTTAATATAATTATAATTTTTACTCTTAGGGAGTGAAATTCAGCAAAATTTGTATCGGTATATTTCCTAAGAAGTTATTTTAAACACGTGTATGCCATTTTAGCAAATATGACATTTTTTCCCCGACCAGCCCCTTTAAAGTTTCCAATCACTCAGTATCTTTATTTCACACATACAGGTTACATCTTTTATCTTAATTACAGATTGTAAAACCTTGTATTTTTCAGAGAGACACAAGATGAAATTCCTACAACTCCCAAGTCACAGAAGGCTAATATTCGGAATTCACTGTAAGTTTTGTTGTTTACTTCGCTGTTAACTCATTAAAAATGAGGATTTCCTTCTACAATGAGACACTTTAGTGGAGAAAATTGTAACGTAGATTTAAAAAAAAAAAAATGTTAGTCCATATACTTAGGAAACAAATCATAGTTTCATTTATTTTTATTGACATTCCTTAGAATTTAACCTACAACCGATTTTTGTCCAAAACTTTGAAAACCATTAATTTCTATAAATACTGCTATACATACCGGCCCTCACAAATGATATATTTTCATCCTAAATTGATGTAAATAACAATTATGATGATTTTTATTTAAAATGATATAGAACTGTTTAATATGCCTATATATTGGTTAATCATCAGGGGGGAAAAAATTGAACAAGCAATGTTCAGCTTCTTATAAGATGAAAGTATTAATTATAATATTCATGAAATGATTTAAAGGAATGCCATTTTGTTGCAATATTGTCATTGGTGTATTCAAGGTCGGATGAGGAAGAAGAGGAATATGACGGGTAAAAGTGTATACATTTAGTTGATGTCAGCTAACAAACTTCTGAACTAACATTCTTTCCTTTCCTGATGTGTACTTGTGGTCTATTTATAACTTCTCTGAACACAAAGACTGTTTATATCTGTTGAGGCCGTTATCAATTTTAACAGCTTATATCCCTGTTACAAAGTAGCTTCCTTTTTATGTATCTACAGAGTATACATATCAATACCTGTAGGAACCTACCTTGAGGCCTAAAACCACATGAGTAATTATTAACAACATAAATACAGATTACTAGAGCTTCTACTTAACCTATTTTGACTAATCTCCGGCTCATCTGGCCCGAAGTGGGTTTAATGTCATGGTGCTCATTCGTCACCCGCTGTCACCTTTTCATTCATTTCATTTAAACATATTTTACTGACAAAGATATGGCATATTGTCAAAGGGATTGGGCAACAGGCACAGCCTATGTAAGCCCTCTCCATCATCAACTTTGTCTTCATTAGAGTATTAGTCTGGAACGGGTAAATGGATTTCGGCTAAATTTGGTGTGGATATTTCCTTGGACACTGGGGGTTCATTGTGGTATAAATGAAGGGTGTGACTCCCATATGGGCACTGGGAAGCCCTCTCCATCATCAACTTTGTCTTCATTAGAGTATTAGTCTGGAACGGGTAAATGGATTTCGGCTAAATTTGGTGTGGATATTTCCTTGGACACTGGGGGTTCATTGTGGTATAAATGAAGGGTGTGACTCCCATATGGGCAGTGGGGGAGAGTTCATTGGAGGTGAATCTTTAAGGCTATTCTAAGGATCCATACTCCTGACAGCCAAATAACTGTTACAGCACATTTAAAATTTTGTTCTGGCCTGGAAAAAAAACCCATAGATAATATGGCTTTTATGAATCATCTCTGGAAAGAAACCACACCTAGTGGAACTTTTATGAATCATCTCTGGAAAGAAAACCACACCTAGTGGAACTTTCATGAACCATTTCTGGAAAGAAAACCACACCTAGTGGAACTTTTATGAAAAAACAGTAAAGATGAAACAAACAAAAAGTGTTAAATGCAAGTTGGCTGTATATTCCGTCTTTGCGTATTGCAGAGTTATCTTCTCTTGGGAGCAGGTATTGATTATTACGTCATTGGTTTGTGCGAGAAAATTATGTCGTTTTCTCAAAAATTGATGACGTTACTCTCACGAACAAGTGACGTAACAATCAATACCTGCTCCCAAGAGAAGATAACTCTGCAATACGCAAAGACGGAATAGACAAGGATTCAAAAACCCAGACCTCATCAAATCATTGTTTGTCGCTCTAACCATCTGAGTTACCTGGGGAACAGAAGCAATCTGACCAAGACATTCTACAGTTATATCCAAAATAAGATTGAGGGGAGATTACTGTAGGTACGAAAAACTTTATTTTCTAGTGGGACACGGATCCTTAAGTTTTGGTAAAGGAATTTCAATGTTTTATAAATCAANAGGGTATAATGCAGAGGAAACAATTTGACTGCTTGCTTAGTAATTGGATGACGAAGAAAGAAACATCTGAATGATACAGGCCTGATAGGCCTCTTGTTGTTTTACTAGATCTGTTTTTAGTTTCCTTTCATAACTAAGTGAGCATCTAACTCTTACATGAAGACATCTATTTGAAAATCCAGGATTATTTAATACATGAAAAGAAAACTATTTTGCTTTTGTTTTGTGAAATGTGCAACTTAAAAGTGTATGAAGAAAAAATTATATATTACTCCCCAGTTTCAAGGCTGATCCAAAATGTTAATAGAATTTGTTTTGTGCTCTACATTAACTAAATAATATATTGATTGAAGTAGAAAAGTGAGAACCAAAGAACTGACCTGTTGATGCTAATGATGCTGATGATAATTGTATCATTAAAAGGGTTTTGTATTTTAAATGATTGTTGAATGAAAGCATCCTTTACATTACTGTGAAAACTGACAATTACAACCCCTGAAAAATTGACATCCTGTCAAATCCGACCATTTGTTATTCTCTCATGCTTTTGCCTTTATATCCTACATAATTTAACACTGTCAAATCCAGTCACTCACTTCATAATTCTGACAGCATTTTACTCTGTTTTCTTTGTATGTAGAATAAGCAAAAAATCAAGTGTATACCTGTGTAATTTACCCAGTAGATAGCTTACAGAATAGTGGCTCCATGGCCAGTAGGCAAAAGTAGTATAGACTCTCTTTAAGGTGACAATATGTATTCTCAAAAGCAAACCTTGAAAGGAAAGAATCATGGTTAATGACTCGCCCTGATTGGAATATTCTTTGCATAAAAGTTTTCTTTAATTTGAGATGTCACTTCATTGTTCCATTTGAGTGATCTCTTGTCAAAGAGTTTTTTTGTTGGGAGCAAACTCTTGTTTAATTGATCTCTTTTTGAGGTGATCTCTTGTTTAATTGATCTCTTTTTGAGGTGACCTCTTGTTTAATTGATCTCTTTTTGAGGTGATCTCTAGTTTAATTGATCTCTTTTTGAGGTGATCTCTTGTTTAATTAATCTCTTGTTGAAGTGATCTCTTGTTTAATTGAACTCTTCTTGGAGTAATTTCTTGTTTAATTGATCACTTTTTGGAGTGATCTGCTGTTTAATTGATCACTTTTTGGAGTGATCTGCTGTTTAATTGATCACTTTTTGGAGTGATCTGCTGTTTAATTTATCTCTTGTTGGAGTGATCTCCTGTTTTAATTGATCTCTTGTTGGAGTGATCTGCTGTTTTAATTAATCTCTTGTTGGAGTGATCTGCTGTTTAATTGATCACTTTTTGGAGTGATCTGCTGTTTAATTGATCACTTTTTGGAGTGATCTGCTGTTTTAATTGATCTCTTGTTGGAGTGATCTCCTGTTTTAATTGATCTTTTGTTGGAGTGATCTGCTGTTTAATTTATCACTTGTTGGAGTGCTCTCCTGTTTAAATGACCTCTTGTTAGAGTGATCTGTTTAATTGATCTCTGGTTGGAGCAATTTCTTGTTTAATTGATCACTTGTTGGAGTGCTCTCCTGTTTAATTGATATCTTGTTGGGAGTAATTTCTTGTTGTAGCAATTTCTAGTTTAATTGATCACTTGTTGGAGTGCTCTCCTGTTTATTTGATCTCTTGTTGGAGTGCTCTCCTGTTTAATTGATCTCTTGTTGGAGCAATTTCTTGTTTAATTGATCACTTGTTGGAGTGATCTCCTGTTTAATTGATATCTTGTTGGAGTAATTTCTTGTTGTAGCAATTTCTAGTTTAATTGATCACTTGTTGGAGTGCTCTCCTGTTTATTTGATCTCTTGTTGGAGTGCTCTCCTGTTTAATTGATCTCTTGTTGGAGCAATTTCTTGTTTAATTGATCACTTGTTGGAGTGATCTCCTGTTTATTTGATCTCTTGTTGGAGTATTTTTTCTTGAAGTGATCTCCTGCTTAATAAATTTTGTGTTTAATTAATCTCTTGTTGAAGTGATCTGTTTAATTGATCTTTTGTTTTAGTAATATGCTGTTTAATTGATCTCTTGTTTTAGTGATCTGTTTAATTGATCACTTGTTTGAGTCATTTCTTGTTGAATAGATCTATTTTTGGAGTGGTCTCCTGTTGGAGTGATTTTTGGATGAAGTGATCTTTGTTTGTAGGTGGAGAGATCTATATTAGAGTGATCGGATATCATGTTTCATTCAAATGATCTTATTGAGATGATCTGTCTATTAAAGCATCTATGTGAAAGTGATATCTTGTTCCAATGATCTCTCAAGACATCAGTGTACTGTAATTAATGTTAACTACAATAAAATGTTTGAGATGTTTTTCTTTAGATTTAATCCAAAGGACCCAGCGATGTATGGCTATTACAAGAAGAGATACCCCGCCAATATCAGACCAGGCAGTGGGAGAAAGTGTAAGTGTTGATAGATAAGTTTGATCTAAAATCTAAAAACTGTCTGTGTTATAAAAAATATTGGGGGTTAACAAAAAGCTTACTATATCTAGTTGTTGTGAATGTCAATGGAAATGTGGCAAATCTTACTCTCTAGCACCTCATGTTGAATTGGTCACTATTAATTCTCTCCAGACATTTCATATATTTTTTTGATACATTTATACCTGCTTTCAACATAAAAATGAAAATCAATGTGAAAAGCTGTATACAGTTATTAGTTGTCGTTTGTATGGCTGAACTGAGGATGTAGTCTGTTTATATTGATGAAGGGATTTAGATCATTCCTTAGATATTTACTTGTAACAAGGAGGTGTTTTATATAAACCAATCACACACATTCCTGAAGGTGTAACCTATTTATCTGCCGAGAGGTTCAGTCAGTGCAGAGATATTGATTTATAACATATAGCTGTATTTTGATAGAGTTCGATATTCTCCTTCATCATATTCGTCTGAATATAAAACAATTAACTTCCAATGATACCACTGAGACATGAGTGGGTAATAGGCTTGATTCTCATTGGTCTATTACATTCCACTGCCAACCACGATTCACACCTAGCCACTATTTCCTTTATCTGGCAGACATACTTTCAAGTATAATTAAATTTGCATATTTAAATATATACACAAAACCTTACTAAATTATTCTATCAAATAAATTTTACATTACCAGTTATGGCCAGATACCCACCCCGATACGTATCCGGCTAACTGCTCACCCGAGAACTTGTGGGAACAAGTACTCGTCATAATCATATATGTGCTGATTTCCTTGGTATTGATATTCCGTCTTTGCTTATTGCAGAGTTATCTTCTCCTGGGGTGCAGGTATTGATTAATTGTTACGTCACTTGTTAGTGAGAGTAACATCATCAATTTTTGAGAAAACGACGTAATTTTCTCACACAAACCAATGACGTAACAATCAATACCTGCTCACAAGAGAAGATAACTCTGCAATATGCAAAGACAGAATAATCATATGAGGAATGAGAATGTTGAAAAAGTGAAAACACAACTATAAAATATGAATCAACAGTACATGTACACCCAAAGAAATATAATGGTAGTGATATTGAACAAAAGTGAGTGTATTATGTGTACATTATAGGAAAGCCATAGGGAGGACACTTGTTATAAGGAGATGAGGACCCCCCACCCCCACATCCTGAAAAATCCCAGGATATATATGGTCAAACATATATCTATTCGCTGAACAATGAATTATATATTGATGTGTGTAGTATAAACAGGCTGATGGAATAAAACATTGAAACCTGAAAAGAAAAAAAGAAAAAAAAGAAAATTGTGAAAGACATTTTAAAAATGCATGCCGTACAATGTTAATGCAACCTGAAGTGTTAATTACAATAAAAATCAGGAGATGGGCAGCCAGCTGTAATTTCATCAAATTCTTCAAAATATTTTAATTAATTGATCAGTGTTTGATATTTGATCTTTTTCCTTGTAGTGTATGGAGATGAGTTTGGAGGTGTGCCCAGCAGAAGATTACAGCAGTTTGCCAAGAGAGGAGGAAAGGACGAAGAAATGCTGGCAACAGACAGCAGTCACCGTGACGATGGTACTGATGTGGCCATCAGTGTGTCAGAGGTCAGTGTCAGGGGAGACAACTTTTAAAATGATTCTAAAACGTGAAAATGCACAATAATATTTTGCATATCTTATTTATCCACCAATAAGCCCAGGGGGCTAACATAATTTACGACTCGAAATAGGGAGATGGACTTATTATAGGGCAATGAAATGTATTTGTTGGTATTTATACGGTACTGCAATAGGTATAGGTGGGCTTATTGCTTGATAAATAGGGTAGTTACTCCTTAAATATTTTAAGGACATGACTTTGCTGACATATAAGTTTGGTAATATATTAGAAACTACCCTGTAATGTTTTTATACGCCCGTCGAAGACGGGGACGTATAATGTTATCACGTGAGCGGGCGGGCGGGCGGGTGGG